TTTTTTTTTTTTTTTGGAGATACTCTATTCTTTTCCTCCTCTCACCTGTCTCATGTGCATCCTTAGGGTCCCAAATCTGTTTTGAATTGCTTGTCTGCCTGCATAGGCTTTCGACATACCCTGAAGGTGTTTCACTTCTGTCAGCTACAGTGAGAACTCTTCCTGGAAACATTTGTGTTACTGGAAGGCAAAAGCTAGTTGGAAAAGCCATCATCACCTGTAGCAGTAGTACTGGTGTTGCAGGAAGACATACTGAAACACTGAAAACAAAACCAGGCTCACTTCTGTTATTTAAGCTTTGTGGGAATGAAGAAGGCGGAATAGTGGTATGTGACCAAAACACTTAATACAAAGTTTGCTTAGAAGTATTAACTAGCATGGTTTTACAATCTTAGTTGGGAATGAGGGCATCCCTTTAACTCCCTGGGAACTCACTCAAGTGGCTGTGTAGAAAGTATGAGCACAACCATGCAGATGTGACTCTCATTAAAGTCACACCTGGCTATTTTAGGACTGAGTTTGATCCTGTTGCTAGTTACGTGGGTGGTTTTATTCTTCCCAAGGCTACATGCACAAACCTCACAGGATTGTTGAGAGGATCTCATTGTATGAGAGTTTTGTGTTAGATCCTCTTTGGTTAAGTGTTCTGAAGTTGTGTTGTATGTATCCTCAAAAGGAAGCATTCGCTTACGTTTGAACTTTCTAGCACCCGAGTTCAGGCCCTCAGGTCTCATCTCTCCAGCAGCAACTGAGACAATGGCGCTTTATTTTTGCGGGAGAAGTATTCAAGCCTGAGGAGTCTCAGGTTTTGGTAGTAGGCAGTGATGTTTGCTCTTGGGTTTTTGGTTTCTTTGTGTTTAAAGTTACAGAAGCTTAAATTTTGCAGTGGAGCTTTCACAGATACTCGATGTCAGCCCCGGTGCTTCCTTGAGTGCATTGCCCATCAGAAGTTGGAAATTCAGCAAAAGACGTAGCTTAAAATTTTACATTTATCTTAATGGCTGGGGACTTCAATATTTTTTTGTAATTGTTTTCCTTAGATTGCCTCTTAACTTTTGATCATAAAAAATCATTTATTAGGATTACAGTTTCCAAAATCAAGCTAAGAAGTGCTCAGAATGTTCCAGCAAACTGCGAGGTAGGGCAGACACCATGTGTTTGTAATATTGTGCAGTATCCTCATCCTCACTCTGCTTGGATAGGTCGGTACTTGTGGTTTCTTTGTGTGTTAAATCTGAGCTCTCAATTGTTTGGGTAACCCTTCCTGCACTCCTGGGGAAGTCCTGTCTTTAAGGCTCACTTGCAGGGCTGCAGCTACAGGTAGCGGGCACTGCTGCAAGGAAACCCTTTTTAGTATTTATGTGGATAGTGCTTAGCATGATGGAAATAAAAGTGTCTTCCAGGACCTGTGGTTGATACTTTGCTGGCAGTAAAAGTGACAAGACAAAAAGAGACATTAATATATTTAAGTATTGTATCAGGTTAAGCTTAGCGTTCTGGCTTGGTATCTTCATGTAGGCTGGGTGGGGGAGGAGTCCATGTTACATGTCATGAGTTGATTTGGGATAACTAAGAATACTGTTAATGTTACAGCTTGATTCATCTGCTGACTAGCTACCACCGAGAGGGGAGCTTTCTTCATTCTCCCTTCCTTTCCTACAGTAAGTTGCCTTGCAAAGCTAAATCGAAAAATAAACTACACTTCAAAAAATCAGGGGCTTTGCTGGTCTGTCTCCCTGAGCAGTCAGACAGACAGTGCTATTGCCAGCACAAGGAGGGGCAGGGAATGCGTATGTACGGGTGAAGGAGTGAAGCTTCCCTTTGATAACATTGCCAGTGGTTACATTGCCTCAGCCTTAACATTGGTTAAAAACTCAGGAAAAAAAGGACAAAAAGCCAGAAGTGAAATCTACTGCTATGTTTTGTGACACCTACGTATTGGGCTTTTATCATTTTGGTTATGGAAAGTGTTTTTCTAAACTGGAACAAAAATAATGTGTCAATCTTTCCTCTTTCAAACAGGAAGCAACACCTTTATATGGCTCACGTCTGACAACATGCACCACCAGTGGCTGCTGCTAGCTGCATGCTTTTGGGTGATATTCATGTTCATGGTTGCTAGCAAGTTTATCACGTTGACTTTTAAAGACCCAGATGGTGAGTTCAACTTTAATGTTTGATGTGAAACAGAAAATTGAACAGTGCTTCACACAAATGCTCTTTTCTGTGCAAAGAACGTTATCAGTATGTTACCACTTCTTCCGTAGGATTGAGAACAGAATAACTAAATTTCAGAAGTGACAGTGCTGATATTCAGTTTCTGCTTTTCCTGGTAGAAGTCTGCAAAACTAACATCGTGTCTTTTTTGTCGTGGTTAAGAACAGAGGGGATCATATTTTGCAGAACTGTCTTGTGAAGTCCACTTTTTCAAATACACTCAGTTTCGGTATCTCGATCTACTAGGAGTAGAAGTCACGTACAAAACAACAGAGCACAACTACCTCTTTAAAGACAAAAGAGATTCACAAGGAATTAAAGAGTTTGTTTCACATGATACTAGTTTCTGTCCTCTTGTGACTGCTTGCCCTGTGACTGCAGTATTATGTAAAACTTGTGGAAAGTTTTATTTCATTTGCAATGCACTTAGCCTAGCCACCTCTGCCCTGCTTCTTGCATTCAGTTTTATCCTCTGCTGTTTGACTGACAAACAGCTTATAGGCTTTTGCTTAGCTTAAGTAGCCCAGATGGTATTAAGCCGATGAGGAATTTAAGCCATTTGATGACACCACACAGCATGTTACAGTTTTCTGTCTGCTGAGGAGCTATTGTTACAAGGCTATCCTACAGAGAGTTTAGGGTGCAGGTGATGATGACGTGACTTACAGTCCTAAGAGTTCTATATTTCTGCATCTTCCTAAGGTATGCAAAAAATCTCTTAACTTTTGAAACACTGACATCACTAGTGCCATTTGTTTCAGTGACTTGACAGTGGATGAATATCTTATGTGTACCTTTTTTAAATAGCATACCACTGTGTGGAGATGTATTCAGCAAGTCTTATAGATGAGAACTGTAAGCTAACTTAGCTTTCCTTGGTCCCAGCTGGTTTTGAGCTCTAGTACATCTGCAAATAAGCTGGTCTTATGTTAGGTAGTTAAATCTTCCAGTGTTTCCTTCCATGCCAACTCTTGTTTCTCAGCTTAGGTATTCTTTGAGTCGTTCTTTCCATCAGAATTTGTCTGGAAGATTAAAATGTAGTATAAAAAAATGCCTAGAGTACACCCTTTGCATTTACTTGCTTTTGATTATCTTGGCTTGCCAGTTTTTCTGGGGTTTTTTTGTTTCTTTGTTTTTGTCTGTGCTGAATCTTCCTTCCTGTTTGAATAGTTCTCTGAGCACAAGATTGTATAATTTCTTAAGCTGCAGTCCTGCAAAGGCATGACTGTGGTTAAGTGTATGTGCGTATTGGAGGTACCAGTGTTCGTACTGGTACTAATGAAGGGAAGTAATTTGAATATACCAACAGAATTTTGGAGAAAGTCCAAACAGGATGGCCAATCCTGGAGGAACCCTTCTAGACTTAATAAAATATGGCTTGTCAGAAATTTTCCTTATTTGGATGTGTCTATTTAGCATCTAGAGCAAAACCAGCAGATGCTCAATGAGTCAATATTCTTCGTTTAAGCCTTTTACTGATGTCTTGGGTTCATGAGCAATAGGAACTTCTTAATGAGAAGGAGCAAGTTTCTGTCCATCATCTTTAGTAGCATCTGCAGGCATGCTTTGATCCAGTGATAATGAAAGATACTTTAACTGCTTTTTCACTGAATCAGATTACTTTGATATTACAAAAGGATACTGTGAAGTAAGCCTGTGCACAACGATATGTACTGTATCTGATTGCTTGGATGGTTACATTGTTTTCAGTTTTAACTTGCTTTTCCATGCATGCCTTTTGTTAAAATCCAGCGTAGGCAGAGTAGAGTACTCCCTTAAGAAATGGACATAGGCAGTAACACATTTTCTTGACCATAAAACAGTAAGTCACTGTGGATGCAGATGAAGAAAGGTTATTCATAGAAGAAACTATACAAAGGGAAAAGTAGTCCAATATGGTTGGAAATAAATTTTCAGGCAGAAATCAGGTTCTTTTTCCTTTGTGGTTAGGCAAAGCTGCTTCAAATTATTTTTTATCTTTCCGTACCATGCAAAGTAAAGCTACAGCCTTGTGTTATTTTTCAGTTTTCTTGTGGCATACCAATTGCAAAAGATACAAAGGATTCTTCCCTTACATACTTCAGTTTGGTCTCAAACTATTAGCTGCCATAAAATCATTAAAAAAGAACAAGAGTATCAGCTGAATTTGTTCTTTCATTGTGGAAGTCTCTAAGGAAAGCTGTCAGTCCAGTAATAAAGGAAGAGGGGTTCTTCTATTTATTGCTGGTTAGAGGTGTTTACTTAGAGCACCAAAGAAGTAAAAGGTGGTCCTTAATGACACTTTCCTTCTGGTAATGTCTAAGAGTTTACAACAGAAGAAACCTATCTACTCTAGTGTAAGGGGCGGGAGAAACCTGGTAGATTAAGTTTTTTATTTGGACATGCTTTGGGAAAATTTATTGAAAAATAAAAATCTCCTGCTTTCAAGTCTATATAGTTGTACTCAATTGTCTACCAATCGTGATATTTGGTTTTATGTTTTCTATCTCTCTTCACACAGTTTGTTAAAAAAGACCAAAATAAAAGGTCATGGGTATGTTTCTTGGATAAAACTCAACTGAAGTTGCATCCAAAATTCCCACAGAGTACATCCCTTACAATATTCATGGTCTGTCTCATGTCTTGTCTGTTACCCTCCTATTTGTAAAAAATCCTCATGTTTTGTAAGCTTAATACAGAAAGTGATGTTCAGTTGTGTTAGTTGTAAAGCAGAAATAGTTGCCTTCCCCCCCACCTTCTGTAATGCTCTTATCTCTCTCCCCTCTTTAGGCTACGGTGCCAAGCAAGAACCATTGATACTGACAGCTGTGACAAAAGTGGAGGAGGTACATGTGCCAGCGGAAAAACACTGGCCTGAAGAATTCCAGGTGCATACTGTTGAGATAAGGGTTACATGTATTAAAAGAGTGTGGAAAAAATAAGAGATTAAGGGCTTCCTATTGGTAAAAGGAATTGCTAGACAGGAATTATTTATTCAGACTGTTCTATATAGATAGAGCCAACAGAATTCATTTTAGCTTCACAAAGCTAGTTTGTTACAGTAACCTGCTGTCTTGTTTCATCTGAATGATTCAACTTAATGTGTTTCCATTTCTAGGAGAAAATCATTACAGTACTCCTTTATCAAGTCAGGACAGTCATTTTTGCTAGCCTTTTTAATATAATGGCCCAATTTTGGATTATTTGTATTCTGCCTTGCCATAGCCATCAGGATTATGGTTCTTGAGGGCAGGCCTGTGTCTTGTCTATTCTCTTAGTTCTCTGCCCAATCTCTCTGACTCTTTTATCAGTCTCCATTTCTTTTTCATGTTTTGTGCTCTTTGTGCTTCACATCTCAGCGTTTCTCCAAAGTAGAAAATGAACACAACAGTATTCAATACCAGTTGATCCTTTAGATGCGTAGTTCTGTGCTTTCAGCAATAAAGCAGAACAAAGGTGGTACTTGCTAATTTACAAGAAAACTCTGAAAATCCCTTATGCGATTGTAAATTTGAGACTAGTTGCACAGTGGGCTAAGGCAATTTTTTTTTCCGTTGGTTACATGGGCCATCTTATATTTAGAGTGTTTTTGTGATGCAGCATGGAAGGTAGGTTTCTATATAAACATGACACTTTCTGGTCCTGAAACTTAAGTTATCCTCAAAATACTTGGGAGAAGCACTTTGTTCAGTGAAAAGCTGGCAGACCTGTGTAGTGAGTTTTAGTATCTGTCTTTACTTGTGTGGAAGAGGATAATAAGGTTTCTGGATCTAAAACTTGACTTCCTGACAGCATGAAATGCAGAACAAGAGTATTAATCCTGTTTGCATGCAAAAGGAATTGTTTTGAGAGATAAACAGTCTGTTAGGCTGTTCAGATTACATTCTGACCAGGGCATATGGGAGAAGAGTAACAAACAGGGTAAGTAGAAGAGAGCTTTTTTTCCTTATGGAGGATTGGGACAAAAAGTAAAATCATTCCTTTTTCATGTATCTTGGACACTGTACCTAAAATTATAGAATCACAGAGTGGTTTGGGTTTGTAAGGGACCCTTTGATAATCATCTAGTTCCAACCTTCCTGCCATGGGCAGGGACACGTTCCACCAGACCAGGTTGCTCAAAGCCCCATCCAACCTGGCCTTGAACACTGCCAGGGAGGGGGCAGCCACAGCTGCTCTGGGCAACCTGTGCCAGTGTCTCACCACCCTCACAGTGAAGAATTTCTTCCTTATATTTAATCTAAACCTACCCTCTTTCAGTTGAAAACCATTACTGTCACTACCCTCCCTGATCAAGAGTCCCTCCCCACCTTCCTTGTAGGCCCCCTTTAAGCACTGGAAGGCCGCTGTAAGGTCTCTCCGGAGACCTTCTCTTCTCCAGGCTGAACAACTCTCAGCCTTTCTTCATAGGAGGAGAGGTGCTACAGCCCTCTCACCGTTTTCGTGGCCCCCCTCTGGACTGGCTCCAGTAGGTCCATGTCTGTGTCATACTGGGGACCTGAGAGCTGGATGCAGCACTCCAGGTGGGGTCTCACCAGAGCAGAGTAGAGGGGCAGAGTCACCTCCCTTGACCTGCTGGCCACGCTGCTTTTTTATGCAGCCCAGGATACAATTAGCTTTCTGGGCTGCGAGCACACACTGCCGGCTCATATCCAATTTTTCATTCATCAATATCCCCGAGTCCTTCTCTGCAGGCTGCTCTCAATCAGTACATCCCCTAGTCTGTATTGATACTGGGAATTACCAACTGTGTAAGTCAATTAGTGTAAGGGGGAAGATTTGTCAGTAGAAATTTAAAATTTTCCATCACCTGTTAATCAGACAAGCTGCTTTTTCCTCTCTCCCCACTAATCAGAGTGAGGTGAGGCAGAGGTGATCATGGTTCCTGTTTTAGTCTCAGAAAAATGAGACATATCAAACAGTTCATCCATTTTTGGGGAGCGAAATCCTGCCTACTTCTCTTGTTTGCCGCAGTAAGCACTGATGCTCATTGTGTGAATTTTTGTCCACCTAATTTTGTTGCAGCTTGGATAAATGGAAACACCGAATGCCTACAGGTACTAGAAAACAGCACAGAACTTTTATCCTAAATTCTTCTTTCCCAGACAGATTGGTCAGCATTCCTAAACCCGATCTTCTCAGAGATTAAATCTTAATTTCTGTTGAAATTCCTGTCCCAACGCCTCAGAAGCTTTCTTACTGGCTGTTGAAGTTTTGTGAGAGTTCCAATATTTGGTCAAGGCATGTTTTATCTACACAGAGAAGACCCTGCTGCTTTGCAGTGGACTTAAATTGTTTTATGGAAAAGCTCTTACTGCTGTCTACTACTACATAATCACTTAAGAGTCAATCCAACGTGTACAGCAGCAGCACAGGAAGGAAACTGTGTGCTGCTCCTTTAGTTAATACATAGCAATATTGTAATCATAAGTCTGGGAGTCACTAGGATGCACAGTTTGGGGATTTTTCTTAGAATTTGGTCTGAAAACTAAATTCTTGCACTTCTGTTTTTTCTTTCCCCTCTCCATTTCATAAAGCCAACTGGAAAAGCCTTTTCTGGAAGTCTGATCCGCCAGGCCCTGGTTCATATGGAAAGACTTGAGCTTCTCAGGAATGTCTGCAGAGACGCTGCGTTGAGAAATCTCTCTCACACTGCAGTTTCCAAATTCGTCTTGGACCGAATATTTGTGTGTGACAAGCACAAGATCCTGTTTTGTCAGACGCCAAAAGTGGGCAACACTCAGTGGAAAAAAGTCTTGATCGTTTTAAATGGTATCTACTCTGCTGTGGGTGTGTGGGTTTCTTTGAGGAGGGGGAAGGAACAGAATTGGTCCAACTGGGACAACAGAAAAAAGGATTCTTTCTGCTTTTCTGTGCACTGAAACTTAATTTCAGCTTTTCGTTCTTCACAGTTGCTCCTAGTCCTTTCAAAACATCTCTTTAAAAGAAAATACATCTGTTCTTTCTGTGAAAATAAATAGTGTTATTACTTGGCTCAAAAGTTGTTTGAGTCATGGAGTACCCATATGCATGTGGTAGGTACATTTGTTGTCTTTGAAGAGGTGTCACTAATTTATGGAATTTGAAACAAGAAAATTATAAGGTGTCACGATTCCCTGAGAAATAATAACATAAAATTTCTGACTTGAGGCCACTGACTCTTAACTAGGGTTTTTTAGCCATGAAGAAAGCTAGTTAAAGCTTTGCAGCTGTTGGTCTGCGCTGCTGAAATCTTGTGTATGTGTTATCAGTGAACCATCATAGGAGTTAGGAAGATTCTGAGGTGCTTAAGGCAATAGTATGGTCAACAAAGGTATGTTATAAAAGGCTGTAAAAGAAGGAGTAAAGGAGCTAATGTGTTTGAAAAATGATCTACAAGGTGAACACTGCCTGTCTATATGTAGCCTACCATGCTCTTCTAGTAGCCTGGTATGCCAATAAAAATAACTGATTTCCTCAAGGTTTTCTACTGTACCGTTACCTGCACACATAAACTGAACATAATGGTATTTAACATAACACACCTTGTTTGACGTGAGACCCTCTTTCCTCTCTGTGCACCAGGACTGTGAATTTGCTACATATAGTCAGGTCAGTTGAGGTCCTTCCGTGGTTTTGCTGGCGGCACAGCTCACCAAGATGTGGGCAAAACCTCAGCGTTGTAAACCCAGCTTTCTTGTTAAAAGCATCCTGCGAACAGCCAGGTCTGCACTTGTGGTTTTATGTTTTCTTTACCTGGTTTGACCTAGTTTGCACACCCAGAAGGAAACAGCCCCAAATTGGCAAAGGAACTGTGTCCCTCAGCAAAACATTTGTAGCAAAGAGAATGCCTCTTAAAAACTTGCGTATTAGTTTCAACTTTGATATACAGATGGGAGCTGAAAATCCAGCAAAGATATGTATGCATATAGGTATGGGCCTGTGTCTTACCTGTGAAAGCCGCGCTCCAAGAAAGTACTGAGTATGAAACTATATAGAAGTACCTGCTCGTATCAGAATTTAACAGAGATAAGATGCAAAGAATAGCTCTGGACAAGTAAGGATGCATTGGCTGTGTTCAGTGGAGGATAACTCATGTCTTACCAGCAGGGAACCTTTCACCTTGAGCTTCCTAGTTCTGGCGTGTTAGATAATGATAGAAAATTGTTTCCACATAAACACTGGTCTCTTCTGCCTTGGGCTGCCAGTGTACTAGTGTCTGCTGCTGAAGACTATTGCTGCAGTTGACCTAACTTTCTCCTCTTTGGATAGTTTCAGCTGGCAGGACTGATATTTAAGGGGGAATACTTCACGTCCAAATACCTAAGTGGTATTTGAAGGTTCAGGATGGAGAAACAGCTGTGGCACTGCAGGGGCTGACTCTGCTACTGCTTGTACTGAATCTCTGCTCTGGATGAATGGAAGGTTTCAGTTTCTGAGGCTATCTAGTCTGACATCTGTTGTCCACAAAGACTACCAAAATATATAATTAGAAAACTGACATTAATAAAATACACCACCAAAAAAAAAAAAAACCAACCCCAGAAAAAATGAAGCTGAGTGGTGTGGATTATCCACTGCAGGTCTGGAACAGAGAAGGCTGTAGAGGCTTTCGTCTGAAGAGTTTGTTTTGTACCCCTCTGTTCTTGTTGCAGGTTCGTACTCTGAAATGATGCTGTTGTGTGAAGGCTTATGCCTAAAGGCCACGGGGCCCACATGAGATATTTCTTAAGGTCATAAAAACTTCCAGGTTCAGTATCTTAAAATAAATGCAACAGAATTTAGTGACATTATTTTTCTTGTCAGCTTATGTGCTTGCAGAAATTAATATCTGGAGGCTTCCTCTTGTTAATTTTAGTGCTTTTTAATCGGTGTAGTACTGTATGGTTGGAATTTTTGTTTCAGCACAGCATAGTCGTTAAAGGAACTTCATGGATCCTGACAGCAAAGTGCTTTTGTGTTGAAGCAGTTCCAAAAGCAGCCCACGGCATTTATTTTTTGTTAGTGGTAGAAACTCAGCCAAAAAGCTGGTTCCTTCTTTGGAGTTAATCCTGAACATCTTCCTGCATTTGTATGTGTAGGCAGAGGGAAAGAAAGACACTGAGGTGAGGAGTTACAGACTTGGACATAATTGCTGATGAAATTCGCCTAATGTGCTTTTCTGAGAGTTTTGAGGCGGTTTGGTCTTGGATCCTGATGTCACATACCCTAAAGAGTTTTAACAGCTTTCAGCTTTGCAGTCAGAATCTCACATAATTTAACAGTTTTAAACATAGTAACCTTAAATGCTAAAAATACAGGGAAAAAAAGATAAAAGAAAAAGCTGTCAGCCAAAGGCACACATGCTTGCTTGTGCTCGCTTTTCCCCCCCCTTGAAAGATTCACTTGCTCTCTCTTTTTGATTTGTCTAGGAGCATTTTCTTCCATAGAAGAGATCCCAGAAAATGTCGTACATGATCACGAGAAGAATGGCCTTCCACGCTTGTCCTCCTTCAGTGACTCTGAAATTAAAAAACGGTAAGAGGGGTTTGGAGTCAGGGTGTTACGGACAATCAAGAGTACAGTTGAAGTCTACATCTGGAATTGAGGACAGCGGAGTTTCTGCTCCACCACTTGTTTTATGGCACTATTCTGTTATCCTCACAGATGTTGCTGTGACTACCTCCCTGCTGTCTTTGAAGGAGAACACCAGTGTAATTGGCGATATAGTTAGGTGAGCCAACCAACTCCCTCTGGATACAGGGTATCTGTAGTTCAATGCATACCTCGTTGTTGCATAGTTGACCTTCAGAAGAGAAGGTTTAGTGAGAAGGTCCACCCTGATGTATGGTACAGTAAATCTTACTGCCTACACTTAAGATTGTCATTGCAGGCAGAGTTACTTACTGGGATTAAACTGGATAGGTTTAAAACGTTAGTGCTCCTTAGCCTGAGAGTATTGCCCGTTCAGCTGAACCACTTCCATCTTCCTGTTTGGATGCTTCTGGTTCTTCTCAGAGCAGAAAAAAGTAGAGCCTTCTAAATTACTTAGGCTAGATTTTTGGCTGTGTCTGCTTTCCTGTCTACTAGACCCCATGCCATATATAATCCCTGTAAGGGGTGGCAGCATGGAGAGAGCAGGACATAAGGTGATAGTGGACACCTGTAAGCTTGTGCTTGCGTGCGTTTTGTGTATACTAAGCCATGCTGAAGAGTCAGCCCCTTATACGTTTGGTGTCAGCTATGAGTAGAGCTCCAAGGTTTGTTGCATTCAGCAGTACAAATACATTTATCACAGCTGTTCCTGTGGAAATGGGGTCACTTGATTGTGTTGATAATATACAAGAGAAGATACTGTCGCCATGTTCTTGAGAACGTGGATCCGTTCTCCCTCCCTGTGAACAGTCCTGCATAGAAAGTTACTGTTCACCTGGGGGATGAGCCGTAGCTAGCGTATGTGAAGTTGAATGCCGTTATGATTTGGGTTGTTGCAGTCAGCCCACCACAGAAGTTGTGCTGGAGATGCATGGCATGGGTTTGGTTGGGAATTCTGAAATAAAATATCAGAGAGTTTAGGTGTGGAGAGAAGGATGGTGTGGATCTGTTGATCTAGTTTGCTGACCTCTAGCCCTGTCTGGTTAGGAGTAAGTCAGGAGAACCTGAAGACCGATACAAGTACCTGTTGAGGCTGGAGAGAGTCCATCCACTTATTTCAGTGAGGATTGGGCTCTAAATCTCTTTTCTCAGCTATTTACTGAAATAAACTTTGTTTTCAATTTGCTACAGATAATCTCTGACTACAGAATATTATGGCTCAGTGGTATCACAACAAAAATGTGAAACTCTTTTGAAAACTGTGGTCTCATGAAAATCATGTTCTCAGCCATTATTGAAACCATGACAAAACATCAAATAAAATAGCAGATTTTTTTCTTTTTTTTTTTTTTTTTTTTCACTTAAGCAGTGATTTATCTAACTACCTGCCAGGGAAAAATGCAGCCTTCTGTACTTTTAGCTGCACCAAGCCTCTTTTTCTGTGTCTTTGTGTATTTTGCTTCCTGAGCTTAATCACATGGCATTAAAAATATCTTTGACTCGGAGCTTTCAGCATCTTTTCAGCATCTTTTGTCTCCTGTTTATATGGATTGAGATAGACTAAGCTCTTCCAGTTTGAATAAAATGTGAAAGCTAGAATGAACTATTTCTGCTTTGTACTATACACAAAATCTGTTAGTGAAAAGACAGAAATCCTATTTCTAGTCCTATTGATTATAATATTGACAGACTGTGCAAGTGATGTAAAATTCATATTGCTGTGTCTGTGGTCAGTTTATGTACATTTTGTAAGTCTTTGCTAAACACGCTTTAAACACTTTGCTAAACACTTCCCTTAATTATTTAATTTCTTGTTTTTTCCTTCCTCTGTTTAGACTGAATTTATACTTCAAGTTTTTTATTGTTAGAGATCCATTTGAAAGACTTATTTCTGCATTTAAAGACAAGTTTGTGCACAATCCTCGGTTTGAACCTTGGTACCGGCATGAAATTGCTCCTGGCATCATTCGTAAATATAGAAAGAATCGCACAGAGACCAAAGGGCTGCAGTTTGAGGACTTTGTGCGCTATCTGGGTGACCCTAATCACCGATGGCTGGATGTTCAGTTTGGTGACCACATCATTCATTGGGTAACGTACGTGGAACTCTGCGCCCCCTGTGAAATCACGTATAGTGTGATTGGACACCATGAAACCCTGGAGAACGATGCTCCATATATCTTGAAAGCAGCTGGCATAGACCATCTGGTATCATACCCAACGATTCCACCAGGCATAACAGTGTACAACAAAACAAAAGTAGAGCGGTATTTTTCGGGAATTAGCAAGAGAGACATAAGACGCCTCTACGCGCGGTTTGAAGGCGATTTTAAACTCTTTGGTTATCGGGAGCCAGATTTCCTGCTTAACTGACGCCTAGGGTAAGCTCTGAAGAAGTATCTTGTGGATTAATCTAAACCTGTGTGAATACCAGCTGCAGCACTGGCAGAGCTGAGAATGACCATTTGTTTTCTAGCTTTTTGATGTTGCGCCATTTTTCAGTGAAATATTTGTCATATGAACAAGTAGGGGCTTATAGTTGTTGTTTACTGACCATGTTTTCAATACGCAGCATTGCAATCTGTTAGGAATGAAGCCTCTGTTATCTGAAAGGCAGAATTCCGCTTCTCCCCTCTTCCCTCCAGGAAAAAAGAGGGAGAACGAATGAGCTATGATCTTCCCCTCCCTCTCCCAGACAGAATGCCATTTTTAAAATGTTGTGAAGTATTTATAAAGCTGGCAATTTCACTGTAGGTTAACTCTGACGTGTGGGTGAACTTCATGATTCATGCTCGTGAGAAAGGCATGTAGTCTCCCATGAGCTTTGAAAATGAGAGGCCAGTACGGGACTAAAAATTGATTAAACGCTTGACGAGTAAAATCATCTAGGCTGCTATAATAACAGTAATGCTGATCTAATCCCATTTTTGTTTGTCACAAAATGAACCTAATTAGACAGAAGCTTTAGAGGTGTTGAAAAAGGGACTGGTTTCAGAGTCCAGTTGTCTTTGTATTTTTGTCAAGTGTTTACTGTACTTACTATTGGTCTATTGAGCCTCATAATTCTTTTGATTTTCAAAATATTATTTAACTCCTGGCTATGTAGGTTATCTAAGAACACCAGATGCAAGTGGAGCATAGAAGAAATACAAAACAGCTAGGGAAACTTTAAGGAAAATTAATTTAAAACAAAGTATTAATTGTATTTGCAGGAGCACATACAGAAGTCATGAGGTGCTCTCTAAGTATCACAAAATTTAACTTGTTTTGTCTTCTAACAGTTAAGGTTAATAAAGAAGCCACAAAAGCAGGATGTCATATAAAAGAGCTGCTAGAGTTACATGGATTAACGATCTACCTTTTTCTTATATCCAGCCTTGCTCAATTTCAGTACCTCAGAGAAAAGAAAATTTACCCCCTTCTGAAAAGTCATCTCCCTACTGCTAAAGGAGATGGGATCAATCTCTGATTTTTCCAGTGATTCACTGCCATGGTGTCCCAACTAAAGAAATGCGCAACATTTGGGTTACCAATGGGGTGAGTTGGTAGCTTGCCAGGAGTAAGAATGCCACTTAAACTTGTGTACTTATTTTATGCGTTAAAAGAAGAAAACCAGTACTGAATGGATGCAGCCGTCATACTGCCCGTGCTTGCATTGTGTCTCGTAAAGACCAGTCTCTTAAACATTTGAGTTCACCAGCAATAAAAATCTGTGTGCTGCCACCTCATCCCGCAGGCCATGGGAGAGAGAGGGACCACGTATCTGACGCAGAGGAACTGCTCTGTCATAGTGAGCATGTGAATTGTATTTTTAAAATCTTAGTCACAAAAGATTAATTTTCAGATCAACGTAATGTTGCTGGCTAGAAATGCTAATGATGGCCAGTGCTATGGAATCTGCTCTTGAATCCAGCCACAGCATGTTTTTGATAGCTTCCTGTATCAACACAGGGAAGCATCTTGCACTTGTGAAAACGCAAAGCTGTGCCAAGCTGACATGGGCTGCTACCCACAAAAAGGAAGCCTGTTGTAGCTGGAAGTGATTTGAGAGAGATCTCAACAGACTAATTGAAATAAGGGAGAATCAGTAACTGGGCATTGCTGGCAAGAGAATAGTCCAAGGTGGCAAAGCTGGAAGGTGGGGTTTTTAATTTTTTTTTTTTTTAAAGCAACAATTACAGTGCCCTAACTTGTTATTTCTTAACCAATGAGAAAAAGATGTTAACAGCTCCAGGTTGTTCTGTGGTTTTCTTAATATGGGAACTTAGCAAAATGTACTGTTAAATGCATTTTGGAGCTAATGAGCTGATTGATTACCTCTTTGCCGGTTTAAAATGTAACAGTGTGAATAATGTATAGTGAATTCAGGCCTTAAAGTTTAATTCTAATAAAGATGAAATAGAATTGTTTTCCTCTGAAAGCATAAGCTACTGATCACACAGAACGCAAATATATGTTTTTATTTTTCTTGGTAAATTACTTAAGGTATTGATTGCTTAAAAATTGCCAGGTGGAAAGTGCTACATAAATATTAAGTAATAATATTTTTTTCTAATAGCTTTCTCTGTATTGAGTTCTCTCAGGCATCTGACATCAAATATGGACAGAGCTATGGACTGACATAGGCAGAGGTGTGTACTACTCTCCCAGCTCCCTCTTCCCACGCTTTTCAGGCTGGGACTGGAACACTCGTTACCATTTCTTCAATTAAAACACAAACTTTCTCCTTTCAATGATACCCTTCTGAGCTATATCTTCTTTCCCAGAAGTGTGTTTTTTTTTCCTTCACATGGCTGAAGTAATGATGGCACGGTTTTGGCACAACTCTTAGAGAAACTCGGATAACCTGAAAGCCCTTGGTGAGGTGTGGTAGGGTCCTCCTTATGTCAATCCAGTGCAGGTAGGGTGGCCAGAGCTTGCTGTGTCGGGAAGGAGGCTCTTGCCGTGCTAGTTATGAGGAATTAAATGCTTGTGTTTTGTTTTAGCTTAATGGTACTCTGTAGAAGGCTTTTATAAGTTTAGTCCCAGTGGCATGCATGAACGTCATTTGGCTGTTCGGATGTCATTTGCATACCGCTTTCAAACTGTGGGTGAATGTCATGTTTTGGGAACTGCTGGCCCAGATTCTTACTTCTCTTATTGTTGTTACAGCTTCAGAAAACAAACTCACATCCTTACTTCGTGCATCTCTGTCTTTTTGTTGTCCTCAGGAGCTTTTGAATCCTCTGGCCCATTTTAACCACATTTTACAAAGGAAAGTCAAGCTCTGGGGGATAGTGATTTGCAGTAATCTTCTTGAAAACAGGAGAGGAAACGTTCTTTTACATCAGAGAGTCCATGCTGTATGTTAGCTTTAGGGAACGTACAGACAGGAAACTGAGTTTTACTGCTTCGGCTCGTCATGGAGCTTCTTGTTTCTTGTGGACTGCCTTCCCTAGTGCTCCGAGTCTGGCCTCTGATCTCAGCTAACAAAGACAAAAGTCATGAATTAAAATATATTCCATGGGTTCGTTATCTTCATGTTCCTTATAAAATTAAGGACACTTCTAGAGATTAGCTGACTGGGTTTTTTTTTGAGGTCTTGAGGTTTGTTTTTTTCTTCCTTGTGGTGAAAATGGATCCAGAATTCACTTGCTTGTGAACCAAGTTTTAAGGACAATGCCTATCCCCTTTTCTTTTAACTTCAGCACACAGTACATCATCACCGGTGTGCTTTCTGGTCACGTGCCATGAACATGTTTTCCTGTAGTTAAAATGTATGTGCATTTTTTTATTTTGGGAACTGTTCCTTAAAAGAAGTAGCTATTCAAAAGTGGCCTGAAAATACAAATTTTTCAGATAAGCATGTCGTTTTCCTATTCGTGCTTAGATGTTGCCCTGTTTGTGCTGAGGATAACAGCCCTCTGCTGCTACCACTTGTCTCTGTCCTCAGATCAAGGAAGCCATCAGACAGCTCTGGCTTTTGTGTAACATTACTTTTTCCTTGAGGTGTTAATAACTTTGTTGGCTGGGAAAGCCACCTTTGATCTTATCTGTGCTCCAGAAAGTTTGCTGAGAGAAGAGTGATTATATAGGGATTGCTTAAGCTTATGTTCTCAGATGAAAAAGGATGTCTTGTCAGTGTATCTGCCTGTCTCTGATATCCCTTAATTGACAGAGAGAGGGTGAATGGTCTTTCTGCTTAATGCCCTTATCATGACTTACACTAAGCCCCCATCCTATTATTACAGCAGTGTGAAGCGAGCTGGAAGGAGGTGTAAATTCAACGTGTGCTTATTTTGAATGTGAGGATGTAAAGGAAAGTTGACACAGGAGTTGGGCCCTGAAGATTTATCATGGCTAATTGTTTGTTATATGTCATCTGCAGAAGCTGGTGCAGTTTCTTTGTGGTCTGCGCTTGAGAAGATTTATGCAAGGTAGAAAGAGGCTTGTGGGTGGTGGAAAATTCCCTTTCAGCCTAAGTTAGCTGTGCGTGTTCCTGGGCTGCTGCCGTGGGGAAGGTTTTAGAAGGAAATGATCCTATTAGCAGCAAAGCCTGCAGTGCTCAGGCTGGCGCGCACGGAGTGCCTCCCTCCTGGAGGAGTGAGTTCAGCTCACACTGATGTTTGGAGCTGACTTGTATAAATCTCTATTTTTGTGCTTTTAATGCAATTGTGTGCAGCTGAGCTGTCATCTTGCTTTCCTGCATGTGGTAGTAGCCTGAGGCGCCTCATCTCATCACCACCAGAGCAGCTTTGAAAGGTCTGCAGCCTGTTTTGCTATGCAGTAGGAGACGTTTCCCTTATGAAGCAAGGAGCATTAGGCCTGTAGCAGTGCAGCTGGTGGCGACGGGCTGGTGTAAGCACAGAAACAGTGCTGTTTGGGGCTAGCTACTGTAAAATCATCGGTTTTCCCTTTTAGTCCAGGCAGGAGTGTAAGGGAAAAAGGATGTGCGTTTGCTTTGAGTCATCAAAAGGAGCTGCGTTTGATAGAAATTCTGGACTGGTAAACACAGGCAAGGCAATGTCTGGGAGAGCGACGCTGAAAAAAGCTGTGGACAGTTGCTTTAAAGCCCCTCAGAGATGCTGGACTCCATGTTGACAGAAAGTTGCTGAAGCTTTATGGGAGGTGTTAGAGGAGCAAGTGTGCTCCCCCATATGGTGTATGTGCATGCCAGAGGAGCAGCTGCTGATGGGACAGCGTGCACATGGCAGGCTGAAAGCATGAAGCATCTGCTGCCGGTGTCTGAAGTCACAGAAAGGAGAGGAAAAAAAAAAAAAAAGTGAAAAGGAAGTAGTGAAAAAATAAGCCTGGAGGTTGCACACTTGGAAAGGCAGTGCCCACTCTAACTGTCAGAAACACGTGGACCACCCTGGATGTGTACAAGACATTTCTGAGTGGTTTGTGGCACAAATCTGTAAATAGGAGGGTAAATGTGGACCATAGGGCATCTGGAAAGCGATTTAGTACTGAGAAGCTAGCCAAGGCTCTCAGTCGTGCCTAAGTAAATGGATCTCGTCTAGGAAAAATGTATAGCTATGCTAGAAGCATTCAAGGAGAAGAGAAAGCTCTTGTGGAATAACTAGCTCTTTCAACAACTACGTGTAACACACACCTGCTGTGAGTAAAGAAGTAGGAACATTTAGTCTTGCAGATCTTTTTTTCCCTCCTGTCTACAGCCTTTCTGATTTATTCAGGTTTTTTTCCCGTGTCCTGAGAGGTCTTTGGGTGGTATGCCACAGTACAACCTGTTACTCTTCTCTCGTCAGAAGGGCAGAAGAGGCTGTAAGAAATACAAAATGTTCTGCGTAATTTTGAGGAACACAGAAAATTAAGGGAGTTGTTACCAATCACGAATGACTTGCAGTGACTGTGAAACATCAAGATTGCATGAGCTGCTTCTTAGATGTTCCATGTGTTGGTCAGGAATTGACTTATGGAAAAATTATCACTGTTCTGTTCTGTATTTGGCATCTTTGTTCGTATGTTTTGAATGGCTTCCAGTAAGGTTTTACAGCAAGTAAATTTTGAAATCTCTCGTACCGCAAAGCTTCATTTTGGATCCACTTATTTTACTCTCATTCTATTTTAAGCATTTTGTAGCGTAAGAGTTGACTCTCTGCACTTACTCATTTTCCTCGGTTTCTGACTGTTCTTTGCAATGCTGTACCATTTGTACTCGTGATAAGGCAGCGAGCGAGAAGACTCAGCAAACACTCTGGAGAGAACAGGACTCTAAAGTAGACCTTTATTTGTGTGTCTCTGTCCACAATCTTCTTTCATCTGCCAGTTTGCCTTTTATTATATTTTTACTCTAGCTCTTTGCTGTAAAACCCATCGGA